GTAAATGTAGCATATATATATCAGGTATACACAAGTTTCTAAAACGATGATCTTCATGCGAGGTATCATTAAATACATAGGCACAACCGCGTGTAAAACTAAGATATCGGTAGAAGAAGAGTATAGTTAAACTGTACAAGCACTTAATTTAAGGTTGGGAAGATGGCAAAATGAATCAAACGCAACGGGAGTGGCTTTTCCTCTGCAACAAATTTAAAAGTTGTTCCAACCTGTTTTCTCACACTTTTCTCCTCTTTTCCCTTCAGGACAGATACAAAAGTATGTGGCTCCAAACTTAAGACACAATTTCCCATCAGTACATTGTTTTTCACAAAAACCACCTGTAAAGAATGAGAGTTGAAAATCACGACAAAATTAAATTTCCATGTTCTAAATATGCTTAAGTTCGTTGGAGACAGTAAAAATCATAGGGGAGGTACAGATGCTAAATTAATTCAAGAAGAAAAAATCAAAACAAAACAAAACAAAACTCTAAATTGATAAAAAATAAACTATTTTAAGTTTAAGGAGCAATTTAGAGTTGTAATTTGATTTTAAAATTTTGACAGAGTTTTGGAAGAACCTGTAAATTTCTCCAGAATGTCTGCATTATAGATAAAATATTTTTGAGTTATTACAGCTGTGATCACATCGAAAATATGTTGGACTCAGAGACCGGCAATCCCCATGCCTGATTTGGGCCAATCAGGTTCCAAGTAATTTCATTGCAAATATGTATTTACTAGTAACCCAGCGATACCAGCAAACAACTTCTTTACATTCTGTAAGCGAAGCATCTCCCATATCAACTTGACTCACCCACCTTCATATAAGATAAAGGTACTTTTGATATCTCCTCCATATTTGTTGCTGGCATTACACCTATATTCTCCAAGTTCCTCCACTTGGATATCGCTAATAGTCCATTTTTTCTGGTTCCACGTTTCGCCTGATTTTACATGAGTCCATAAGACAGTAGGAGGTGGCGTTCCAAACACATTACAATAAAGTTCAATAGTTCCATTCTTAACGACAGTGTGATTATCCATGGCCACAATTGCAGCTGGAACTATAGGGCATATTACAAAGATTCAAAGTTAGTAGTCCCCTGGTTAAGAAAGGCAGTTTAGCATAGAATCATATACCTAAACCCTCTTTGAATTAGTTTATACCTGTACCTGCACTGTACAAGTTAGAGTTTACCCGTTGAATTTCCTTTGGATTTTTATTGTACTCTGGATAAGTGGTGACTTGACTGTTGTCCACAATTTCTCAACACAAACGTACCAACACATGCATGTATCTGTGACACTTACCGGGCACTGGTTGTTCGAAGGTTAGACAACGCTATCCACTGGATAAATCTCTGTCCGGTGGATAGTGTGACACGTTTTGCTATTACTTATCCGCTGGACAGCGATTTATCCGTTGAATTTCGTTATCTGACCTTTATACAACTGGGCCTAGAACACTACCAAAAGACATGCATGTATATAATTTAACAACAAAAGTTTGTTAAATTATAACAAAAGGAAGCTAAACGAGTCTCGAAAGAAGCAAAAAAGGATTTGGTGATTTTGTTACTCAGGAGCAGTTTTAAATCGTGTGTCGAAGCCGCCTCAACACTAAATACAATAGACTCGGTCGGTATACGTTTAGGCGTCACTGAGTGTTTCAGTCCGTAAGATAGTACTTGAGTCTCAGTCTTGTCTAAGGGACGGGAAGAGATGTTCCTGACCCAGTTGTCGTCGGTTCTTTGTCGTCTTTTGTCTTTGTTATGTGGAAGTCGCGTCAGTTTTTGTTTATGTTTGTCACGAGCTTGGTAACTCGTTTTGTCGGCTCGGCTGTCAGCAATAGCTGTGACTGTGTCGAGTAAGATAGTCGGTAACTGCTGTTTCAGTTTGTCAAGTAGTTGTTGTAATTTGTTATTGTAGTGGTTGAGTCTTCTGTGACAGTCGTTAATCTGCGCTTTGACCAGTCGTCGGCAGGTGGATTTGACGATCTGGATGGCCTCTTGTGTGTTCAACGGGGACCTAAGTCGAAGTCCGGCCGGAACGAGACCAAGATCTTTGCAGCGGTGGTTGAACCAGAGAGAGATATGCAAAGGCCTTCCTACAGACACGTGTCAAAGAAGCTGAACGTGACGCACTGAGATTCCATTGGATTAAAGATAAATCGACTGAAGAGCTGGAAGTGCTGAGGTTTACGAAAGTGGTGTTTGGTCTTGCTCCTTCTCCTTTCCTACTCGATGCCGTGATACAACAACACCTGGAGAGTGTGCTGTCCGAGTAGACAGGGACTGTACAAGAAATCAAGAACTGCTAGATAGTGTGGACTTCATTCTTCTCAGATGGCTAATGTTGAAGATTTATGTTGAAGATTTCACCACTAACTGTGTGGACTTCATTCTTCTCAGATGTCAGCTGGTAAAAGATGGATACTAAAAATAGCTATCCATGAGAAAAGGTAGACATCATTAAAAAAATCACACTGAATGAAGGTGGTGGCATGATTGATTTGTGATATTTAGAATGACGAAAGCAGGAAAAACACATTGAGCTTTTTCCTATTCACCAGTAAGTTAATTAGATTTTGGATTCTACATTCAAACTGGCTGAGATTAAATTTATTGATGGCATGCTTCATTATGGTTTGTTTATCTGGAAAGATAATTGTTATTACAGCTTCACAGATGTTTTTGTTGCAATCACAATTGACATTCATAACAAAGTTTCATAACATAGAATATTTTAAGAACTTTCTTTCTTTCTCTTCAATTATTATTCATGGAGCACAGTTAAAGGAAGCAGGCTATTAAAAAATTAGAACTATTGATTCAGGTAATTATTTGAACGTGTGAGTAACATTTCATGTTTTCACACGTAACAGGATGATCAAGCTGAAGATAGCCTTAAAAAGGATTGAACTCCACTGCAAGAATTAGCTGACTAATTTGGAAACTTGAGCACATGGTAAATACACCTTGGCTTGCAATTCTAATGATTACAGTTTGCTGAGGTAATTGAAATGTTAGCCCCCATGCAGGAACCTTCCACATAACTTGTACAGTCATGTGCTATCTGCAACTGGGATTATGACTACTTTAAAAGACTTCACTACATGCCGTATAGGTACAGGCAGGTGTTGTAAAAAACGTTTGGTTAGCTTTCTCATTAGTGTACATTTCTTTTCCTAAGAATTTTGTTTATCCAGCCTGTGCTGAATTCTAATTTTTCAACCAAATTTCATTATTTTTTAAATATTATTAGATCTCCTTTTATCAGTTAATATTTATGTAATTCAAATAATTACATAAACTCTTGCATATGTATGGCAAATTATTTTTTCTCTGATCCTTCTAACATTTTACCATGAGAAGGGACTGTTATTGGCTATAAAAGCATAGTCAAATTAAAGTGTTTTGCACAACTTATGCATCAAATTTTTGCTATAGAATATTGTATCCTTCTTAAAACTAGTTTATCAGAATGAGAATGAATTATTGGGCACAGGTATGGCTTTCACGATGATAGTTTCCAGGTTTGAAAAAAGTCACTGCCTACTAAAATCTTCAGTTCCTTTGCCCTGACAGCTCAACCTCGTCAAAATATTGCCAACAGGAGTGATTAGCAAATTATTGACACAGACGAGAGAGCCTATTCCCACATAGTCCTCCTCGATCCTGTTAGCTTACTATGGACATGGCATTTCAAACACGGTGTATATGCCACAATTTTTCCATTTCCCTGACTAATTATTTTGTAATAGTGTTTGTATTATATTTCAACCCAACCATTTTCCACAAGATATGTGGAAAAGACTTGCCAGTAGATAGTCAGATGAAAACTTTTCCCATATCAATAAAATGTATTGTTGCGTTTCGTGTTAACATGTTGCAACAACTCCACCTCCAAGTAAATTCTATTATTTGCAAAAATGAGAAAATACTATCTAAAACTTTTCAACCTATTTAATATAGCCAATAAAAACATCAACTCAACTTTTAAACTTAAGAGAAAACTTGTTTGATGTTTATAATTGATTTCTGTGCTATAAAAATGAAGTTCAGGTTTAGCTCAAGTTTTCTTAAAGACACCCACATTACATGTAGTTACAGCAGAGGTTATCGAATTAAATAAGAGGAAAAATCTCAAAAAGACATCGTGTATTTCCAGCCAGAGGACAATCATTAGACGACAATAGCCGAAAGCGAAAAAGTTCTAAAAAATTACATAGATTCAAACACGAGTTTAAATTACTTTTTTTTATTTTCTACGCTAAACAGAGGAGGTTGAAACGTTGGGGAAAAACAGTGGGGTAAGCATTCCTACCTGGCAACTTCAAGAGCAGATATAAGAGAAGCCCATACGATTCTGGCGCATCGTTTTACTGACTAACTGTGCTCACTGCACGTGTATACTGTCGTTTCTTTCAATTTTGGCTCATTTTCCCAAACCGAAATTATAACTCGGGCTCAATAGAATACAATTTCAATTAATGCTGACATCATGCGCTTCCTCTGAAGAAGAAAACATTTCCTATCTTCATAAAATTTGGTCAAAACATCAAGAACAACGACGAAGGTCGTAAGCTGTCTAAAGATACCGCTGACTAGCATGCGTGTAGCTGTGAGAATATCGTCCCCAGGTTCCAGACTTCGTCAATTTTTTCCCCACCTCCCCCCCGAACTGGTCTTTCAATTCATTGAAGAAACTCTTCTTCAGCCAGTGCTGAATAGTTTTATTACAGTATTCATTCAGTATAATGAAGGGCTGGAAAATAAATTAACAAGAGCTCTGCTTTTAGGCTTGCCTAAATCTATATATTATCAGTGAGATGGTATGTAGCACGACTGCTGGGTACTCTAGTGGACACACTTTCATAATCTGTCAGTTTCTACGCCTAACGTGTAGAGCTTTTGGCCGTTTTATGGCTAACCCCATTGAGACCCTCGTGAAAGAGAAATGTTAAATACGTTTTCTTTCAAAAGAAGGCGAAAGTAGCTCAGGATGATAGTGGTGAGCGGCGAAAGTCAGTCTGTCTCTAAAAAATAGAGCAGTATAGAATCACATGCAAGTTGGGGCATAGTCGGTTGCGTAACGTGTCAAGAGCAATTTCGCCCAAGAAAAATGTTTGATGATTATAAAAGAGGATATACAGAATAAACGTCACAGGGTACTCACCACCGGTCGTTGTGGATTCATACTTCGCTTCAAATCCACGATTAACTGTTTGTCCAGGGTGGAACATCACAAACATTTGACTTCCATTCGACAACTGAGGCTCATTCCAAGACGAGCCCAGGCAAAATCGCCCCAGCGAAGGCGAACTTGTTGACCCACCATCATAAAGCTCCACATAAGGACAAGAATCTAAACAACCATTTCCTGAACACTCACTTAACACAAAGTCAGTAAACGTAAAATTTACAATTTTGTCAGCTGGCGCGGTAATGTTCCAGGTACAATTTATGGACGCAGTGTAGTTACTCTTTGGGTAGTTTGTGCTGCTTATTTTGCCGCTGCCTGAGAGAGGAATTGCTTCCTTGGGACAAACTGTAACCAATGAGAAGGAGCATGTGAGTGTGGGAGAATAAGCATAGGCTGTTCCGGGCGTTCAATTGCTAAAACACAGGACCATATTCAACAGCGCGAGAGCAGCTGGAGAGTGAAAAAACCAGGGAAGTGTGGGTCATGTTGGGTAATCAACTTCTTCTTTTCCCTACCAGACCCAAGCCACACTCTCTTTTTCGCTACGCCGCTACTATCGTGCCCCTGGCTATTTCGCTCTGTTTGAATGGCTAGAACGCTTGGAATAAGCCAGAATAAACATGGATTGGTGATAGATATATGGCTTCTTTCTCAGACGCCGTCAAAATATGCATGGTAAGAACGAAAGAGTGGCACACGAGTCGCTGCCAAGTATCATGATGAAAACAGGGTGACATCATCCAATATCTCTTCCTGAACAGACGCACGGCAACGTGCAATCTAACTGTTTATAAGGGAGTAGCCCTAAGGCAAGACTATGAATATTTGAAACTCGTTACGGTGACCATTATCAACTCAGTTGATGGAACCAAATTATCTTATTATATGAATGAAAGTGATCTTCGCAGTGATGTGCACTACTTAGGCAGTAGTGAAAATAAGGCCTGAAAAAAAAATACAGGCCTGTACGGGATTTGAACCCATGACCTCTGGCCTGAATTTTTTTCAGGCCTTATTTTCACTACTGCCTAAGTAGTGCACATCACTGCGAAGATCACTTTCATTCACGTCTTTATCCGCAGTTCAAATATATGACCTTCATATATTCTTAATTATCTTATTATACTTCTCGACCGACGCAGCACCACAGTTTCTTTGGAAACTTACCACCTTAATTCAATTAAGGTTGGCATGGCTTCCCAGTACAGCATCGCTTGCACTATACAACAGAGATGTTTCCACTCATCCTGAGTTGATAACAGAGAGAACCTCCACCCTTATTAACTAAGTTCCTTATCATTACTTGTATGGGTGAGTTTATTGCATGTAACATATTCTCTCAGCGAACTCTGAGATCTCATGACGTTGTTGTCTCTACTTACTTGGAGGACTGTAGTTCAACAGCTTGTAAGTTGCCCCAAATCCGTCATAATCCATGTTTGTATCATCGGACACAAACAGCACCCTCAAGCTTTCGTGCAGGGAATAAAATTTTACAGGAATATGCATTGGTGTACCACATAGTTTTCTAGGCAGCACTTGGTCACTGAAGCTACTCTGAACTTCCATGTAGTCACACGAGCAAGCAGCGGCATCACAACGTTCAAGATTATAGTCTGGTATTGTGAGCTCAACACGGTATCCTTGTTTCCCTATAATCTTCCAGCTACATGTCTGGTTGAATGGATAGTTTCTTGGATTATAAGGAGAGGAGAAGGAACCTGATGTTTCATCGAGGATCATATCTGTTGGGCACACTGAAAAGAGTAACAAAGACTGCCAGCTTTAGTAAAATGCATCTAACCTACTGTAAAAAAACTTAATGAATTTTCGATACCGCCTACAGCTCTTTTTCAGTAAGTTGTCAGTTTTATACTTTAATCAATATAACGATTGTGTAATATAGCAGCTTGCGTTCGAGTAAAAGGCTTGATTATATGCAGTATTTTTCTACAGACTATAGCTGTTCAAAGATTGCCTACTGTATTACTTGCATGATATACTCAACAAATTCTCGCTCAGTTTAATAGGGGTACATGCTCAGTACACTTCTATACTTCCGGTTATAAACTACCTTAGAAGATAAGCTCTTACGTGAATCTCCATCTATCGCCTGAAAGATTGCATTGAACCCTTTGTTTACAAGGCCGGTGCGAGACTCAAATCTCACTTGAATGAAATGTCCCTCGGAGTACACAGGAGGGGGAAGCTTTTGACCACAGATCTTAAAGTCATTGGGTTTTCCTCCATGAGAGGCAACGTTTGTGATAGAGACTCGGGCACTGTCTGCTGCCGCTCCAGCACAGTCATCGTTTTCACCTGCTACCAGGGTAAAGTTCAAGAAGGTCAGTTTGATGGTTTTTCCACCGGGTACCGTGATATTCCAGGTACAAATCCTGTTTGCGTCATAGTTGTTGGGAAAATTGGGGCTTGAAATGTGACCACTGGTAGCATGAATGGACTTTCCAGCAGGGCTGCAGGCTGTAAAAAAAAAGGCATCTTTCAATTAATCTTTGGTTTCTTACTCCAAGCAAAATAGAAATTGCAGATGTGTTTCAAACTAGCGCTTTCCTTACCATATCTTTACTAAGAATGAGAATCTCAGTTGACTTAAACAAAGACTAAATCTGTGGATTAAAATGCAGACATATAAGACGATTATTTATACTTACGATCACTTGTCACCACAGTCAGGTTGGCAACTGCAACAAATACAAATCAAAGTGCTCTGTGAGCAAACTCGTGAACTGACAGATGACTTACATGATTTTTTGGATTATCTTTAATGTTATCTGGTTTAGGGAATTTTGTGGTTGATTGTCATATTTAGAGTACGAGCAGTAGTTCATTGTTCGCTAATGTAGCAAAGAAACAAAGTAACGTTGGGATAAGAAGGCACTACAATTGTGATGATCATGCTATTACATTTGACAAGGGTGAATAATGTCATTTGTTTTAAACATTTATTTTGTTTTTAGAGGGCACGGTAACGAATCCTGCAATCTGATTGGTTCTTTACCCGGTCAGTATTTTCCTATCTCTGGCCACGGGCCACGGTAACGCTTTCGTGAGTCGCCGAGTACATCCCATCTTTCGTTGCCATTTTTTATAAATATATCTCGTTTTTCCGGCTGGGCAGTATTTTTAAGGAAACTCGTCGGTCACCAGCTCAAGCAAATAAATAACTTTTGAATCCCATGTTTTCTCTGTCTCAAATCACTTTGGTCGACAGAAAAATATTGGTTGCAGAATGAATTTGTATAAGCAATAGTGTCAATTACGTTGGTTGACAAGCGGCCTAAAAACCGTCTGAAGTTAAATTTAATCGTTCACAAAAAGTACATAGAAAGTTAAAACGTTTAGCAATTTGTTCGTAGCAAAAGAGCGAGTGAAGTTTTAATTTAAGTTCTACAACAAATTTACGCTGTCGGTGAGTCTTTCCGAGCCCGTTCAATTTGGACATTTGTACCGTAAATTGCACAATAGAAGCTGAAGCTGTTGCAACAACTCCACCTCCAAGTAAATTTTATTATTTGCAAAAATGAAAAAATAGTATCTAAAACCTTTCAACCTATTTAATATAGCCAATAAAAACATCAACTCAACTTTTAAACTTAAGAGAAAACTTTTTTGATGTTTGCAATTGATTTCTGTGCTATAAAAATGAAGCTCAGACAACAATAGCCGAAAGCGAAAAAGTTTTAAAAAATTACATAGACTCAAACACGAGTTAAAATTACATTTTTTTATTTTCTACGCTAAACAGAGGAGGTTGAAACGTTGGGGAAAAACAGTGGGGTAAGCATTCCTACCTGGCAACTTCAAGAGCAGATATAAGAGAAGCCTATACGATTTTGGCGCATTGTTTTACTGACTCACTGTGCTCACTGCACGTGTATACTGTCGTTTCTTTCAATTTTGGCTCATTTTCCCAAACCGAAGTTATAACTCGGGCTCAATAGAATACAATTTCAATTAATGCTGACATCATGCGCTTCCTCTGAAGAAGAAAACATTTCCTATCTTCATAAAATTTGGTCAAAACATCAAGAACAACGACGAAGGTCGTAAGCTGTCTGAAGATACCGCTGACTAGCATGCGTGTAGCTGTGAGAATATCGTCCCCAGGTTCCAGACCTCGTCAATTTTTCCCCGCCTCCCCCCCGAACTGGTCTTTCAATTCATTCAAGGAACTCTTCTTCAGCCAGTGCTGAATAGTTTTATTACAGTATTCATTCAGTATAATGAAGGGCTGGAAAATAAATTAACAAGAGCTCCGCTTTTAGGCTTGCCTAAATTTATATATTATCAGTGAGATGGCATGTAGCACGTCTGCTGGGTACTCTAGTGGACACACTTTCATAATCTGTCAGTTTCTACGCCTAACGTGTAGAGCTTTTGGCCGTTTTATGGCTAACCCCATTGAGACCCTCGTGAAAGAGAAATGTTAAATACGTTTTCTTTCAAAAGAAGGCGAAAGTAGCTCAGGATGATAGTGGTGAGCGGCAAATGTCAGTCTCTCTCTAAAAAATAGAGCAGCATAGAATCACATGCAAGTTGGGGCATAGTCGGTTGCGTAACGTGTCAAGAGCAATTTCGCCCAAGAAAAATGTTTGATGATTATAAAAGAGGATATACAGAATAAACGTCACAGGGTACTCACCGCCGGTCGTTGTGGATTCATACTTCGCTTCAAATCCACGATTAACTGTTTGTCCAGGGTGGAACATCACAAACATTTGACTTCCATTCGACAACTGAGGCTCATTCCAAGACGAGCCCTGGCAAAATCGCCCCAGCGAAGGCGAACTTGTTGACCCACCATCATAAAGCTCCACATAAGAACAAGAATCTGAACAACCATTTCCTAAACACTCACTTAACACAAAGTCAGTAAACGTAAAATTTACAATTTTGTCAGCTGGCGCGGTAATGTTCCAGGTACAATTTATGGACGCAGTGTAGTTACTCTTTGGGTAGTTTGTGCTGCTTATTTTGCCGCTGCCTGAGAGAGGAATTGCTTCCTTGGGACAAACTATAAGCAATGAAAAGGACCATGTGAGTGTGGGAGAATAAGTATAAGCTGTTCCAGGCGTTCAGTTGCTAAAACACAGGACCATAATCAACAGCGCGAGAGCAGCTGGAGAGTGAAAAAACATGGAGGTGTGAGTCATGTTGGATAATCAACTTCTTCTTTTCCCCACCAGACCCAAACCTCACTCTCTTTTTCGCTACGCCTCTTCTATCGTGCCCCTGGCTATTTCACTCTGTTTGAGTGGCTAGAACGCTTGGAATAGGCCAGAATAAACGTGGATTGGTGATAGATATATGGCTTCTTTCGCAGATGCCGTCACAATATGCATGGTAAGAGCAAAAGAGTGGCACACGAGGCACTGCCAAGTGTCACTGATGAAAACAGGGTGACATCACCTAATATGTCTTCCTGAGTAGACGCACGGCAACGTGGAATCTAGTTGTTTCATATACGATGATGGAAATTGTTGTTAATGGTGAAGTCATCCACACCTCTTTTCTCCAATAGGTGATAAATAACAGCCAATCAAAATGCTTATCATATAACTGTTGACTCGACCAATAGTCAAGATCAAAACGGCTTAAAACCATGCTCTTTAGGCTGATACATTTCAATACGACTTTTATAAGTGAGTAGTCCCAAGGCAAGAATACGAATATTTGAAACTCGTTACGGTGACCAATTTACATTATCAAGTCAGATGAAACCAAAATAATACTGTTATACTCCTCGACCGACGCAGCGCCACAGTTTCTTTGGAAACTTACCACCTTAATTCAGTTAGGGTTAGCATGGCTTCCCATTACATCACCGCTTACACTATACATCAGAGATGTGCGCATTCATCCCGAGTTCATAACAGAGAGAACCTCCACCCTTATTAACTAAGTTCCTTAACGTTACCTGTATGGGTGAGTTTATTGCATGTAACATATTCTCTCAGCGAACTCTGAGATCTCATGACGTTGTTGTCTCTACTTACTTGGAGGACTGTAGTTCAACAGCTTGTAAGTTGCCCCAAATCCGTCATAATCCATGTTTGTATCATCGGACACAAACAGCACCCTCAAGCTTTCGTGCAGGGAATAAAATTTTACAGGAATATGCATTGGTGTACCACATAGTTTTCTAGGCAGCACTTGGTCACTGAAGCTACTCTGAACTTCCATGTAGTCACACGAGCAAGCAGCGGCATCACAACGTTGAAGATTATAGTCTGGTATTGTGAGCTCAACACGGTATCCTTGTTTCCCTATAATCTTCCAGCTACATGTCTGGTTGAATGGATAGTTTCTTGGATTATAAGGAGAGGAGAAGGAACCTGATGTTTCATCGAGGATCATATCTGTTGGGCACACTGAAAAGAGTAACAAAGACTGCCAGCTTTAGTAAAATGCATCTAACCTACTGTAAAAAACTTAATGAATTTTCGATACCGCCTACAGCTCTTTTTCAGTAAGTTGACAGTTTTATACTTTAATCAATATAACGATTGTGTAATATAGCAGCTTGCGTTCGAGTAAAAGGCTTGATTATATGCAGTATTTTTCTACAGACTATAGCTGTTCAAAGATTGCCTACTGTATTACTTGCATGATATACTCAACAAATTCTCGCTCAGTTGAATAGGAGTACATGCTCAGTACACTTCTATACTTCCGGTTATAAACTACCTTAGAAGATAAGCTCTTACGTGAATCTCCATCTATCGCCTGAAAGATTGCATTGAACCCTTTGTTTACAAGGCCGGTGCGAGACTCAAATCTCACTTGAATGAAATGTCCCTCGGAGTACACAGGAGGGGGAAGCTTTTGACCACAGATCTTAAAGTCATTGGGTTTTCCTCCATGAGAGGCAACGTTTGTGATAAAGACTCGGGCACTGTCTGCTGCCGCTCCAGCACAGTCATCGTTTTCACCTGCTACCAGGGTAAAGTTCAAGAAGGTCAGTTTGATGGTTTTTCCACCGGGTACTGTGATATTCCAGGTACAAATCCTGTTTGCGTCATAGTTGTTGGGAAAATTGGGGCTTGAAATGTGACCACTGGTAGCATGAATGGACTTTCCAGCAGGGCTGCAGGCTGTAAAGAAATGGTATCCTTCAGTTACTCTTTTGGTTTCTTACTCCAAGCAAAATAGAAATTGCAGATGTGTTTCAAACTAGCGCTTTCCTTACCATATCTTTACTAAGAATGAGAATCTCAGTTGACTTAAAGAAAGACTAAATCTGTGGATTAAAATGCAGACATATAAGACGATTATTTATACTTACGATGACTTGTCACCACAGTCAGGTTGGCAACTGCAACAAATACAAATCAAAGTGCTCTGTGAGCAAACTCGTGAACTGACAGATGACTTACATGATTTTTTGGATTATCTTTAATGTTATCTGGTTTAGGGAATTTTGTGGTTGATTGTCATATTTAGAGTACGAGCAGTAGTTCATTGTTCGCTAATGTAGCAAAGAAACAAAGTAACGTTGGGATAAGAAGGCACTACAATTGTGATGATCATGCTATTACATTTGACAAGGGTGAATAATGTCATTTGTTTTAAACATTTATTTTGTTTTTAGAGGGCACGGTAACGAATCCTGCAATCTGATTTGTTCTTTACCCGGTCAGTATTTTCCTATCTCTGGCCACGGGCCACGATAACGCTTTCATGAGTCGCCGAGTACATCCCAACTTTCGTTACCATTTTTTATAAATATATCTCGTTTTTCCGACTGGGCAGTATTTTTAAGCAAACTCGTCGGTCACTACCTCAAGCCAATAAATAACTTATGAATCCTCTGTTTTCTCTGTCTCAAATCACTTTGGTCGACAGAAAAATATTGGTTGCAGAATGAATTTGTATAAGCAATAGTGTCAATTACGTTGGTTGACAAGCGGCCTAAAAACCGTCTGAAGTTAAATTTAATCGTTCACAAAAAGTACATAGAAAGTTAAAACGTGAAGTATTTGGTTACAGTTAAACTGAACGATGGAACTCTCATTCATTTAATAACTGAATTTTCTTTAGCAATTTGTTCGTAGCAAAAGAGCGAGTGAAGTTTTAATTTAAGTTCTACAACAAATTTACGCTGTCGGTGAGTCTTTCCGAGCCCGTTCAATTTGGACATTTGTACCGTAAATTGCACAATAGAAGCTGAAGGAGTTTAATGAGAAAAGGCCGCATTAAATCCCTGTTTGTTTCGTTGGAGTGTGCCATTCGAATTTAGTTTTTGTTGAGGAAAGACCAGATTTACACACGCCATTGCAGCAAACAAACGAACAAACTCTCACAACTTCAAAATAAAAAAAATTGAATTTACTCGCATTTACTTTTCTCGTTGTTTAATTAGTGAACAGAGGTAAATCTTCGTACATGAATGAATTGTCGATGAGAATGAATAATACTTTCCGTTAGACCATTGACTGTTTTTGAAGAAAACATTGTCGTGACAGTCCTCGCCAAACTAATTCTGTTGTTTTCAAATGTTCTTGCGCTTTTTTTCTTATGTGCTCCCTAATTGACAGGTGTGAGATTGTGACAGATACTTGTAAAAATAATGTCTTAAAGTTTCTTTCAAAGCCTTTTAAATCACCTTTATCGTTACGGAAATGAAAATGTTGAGGCATCTCTCTTTCATTTGCATCACCTCTATTTTAACTACCATTTACTCGCTCAAAAATTGTTCAGTTTATGAAAGATCTTGCCGTATTTACAGCCCTAAATCATTCGGATTCTTTCGGAAAGAATTTCGTCAAGTTTAAAAAAAAATATATGTTTTTTACCGGCTAAAGGTCGGTCCGTATGGTGAAAAACTGTGACCTCGGTCTTGAAATGTTTTTCACCATACGGACCTCCCAGCCGGCAAATAACATATATATATCATTTGTGTCTCTAGTTCAAAAGAAGAGGTTGGAAGTAAATGTGAGTGAAAAGTGAAATTTACTTTCCATCATTGTAAATATTTGAAAATCAAGGCAATACTGTCGTCATGAAAACATTAATGATTCCCTCTTTATCAGATGAGACAAACGGGAACGAGTTTTGAGTGACATAACTAAGCCAAGACTGCCACGGTCATTTTGGATTTCCACCTGGGTAAGTTTTGGTCACGTGCTAGGCAACGTATAATCGAGAACAAGATAGAATTTCATTTCAGGCCTATTTATCCATTTTGTGGTGTATAACTTTCGCATTTTAGTATGTAATATCTATTTAGAATCTTCAAATTGTCTTGAAACTTAAAAGAAAATTGTTCTTTAAAAATTCACTGGAAATCGGTAGCCAAAATTATTTGTTTAGGTGTTATTTGATTTTCGTGTTTACCTGTAATTTCGTCAGTCGCCGGCACCTTGTGTTGCTTCACACAGGAAAAACACACGATACGAAATGTAATGATCGATGTTGTCCCCAACCTCACGCCACAACAGGAAAAGCTTTTTTTCTGTAAAACTCCGAGCGCTTCAGAGTAAGTGATATTTTTAATGAATCGTCGGATTGTTTTCAAGTTCAAGGATTGTAAATTACAATTTTGTGGAAAACGAAGGTTGTTGTCTTATTTCATTGTGAAGCCTCGAACGCCTGCCAGTTGCTAGCGCCGCTTGTTGAAACTAGAACGAAAAAAATTAACTCTTTTAATATTATCATTGGCTTCTTTTTCATCTCAACACTATTCTTAGCAGCAAAGGTCGCCATTTCGCTTGTTTATTACTCGCCAAAAACTATCAAATGCACTCAAAAGCCTAAAATTGAAAAATAGTTTACAGGAATCGACCAATCGAACGAGCAAGCGATTGCCATTCCCCACATCATATCTACAAGTCGCTCTTGCGCATGCATAATTCACGAGTTAAAATGAATATGTGAACACGTTTCTCGACGTATGTAATAGAAACAGTTCATCCCAAATTCTAAAAAGTGTGGGTCATCTGAGAAAAAAGGTAAAGCACAGAAAACTCCCTTAGCTGCGATAGTGCTATTAATACCAGAAAGAATTCTGAGCTGATTTTTAACTTGTTAATATCTCATATTTTCTGAGCGGCTTAAACGCCCGTTAAACTGATCTGAGGCAAACTGATTAAATTTTTATGTGTGCGTGTGAGACATCAATTCTTGCAAGATTTTAAGCTGAGCCGTTCTTCACTTGTTGAGGGTTGCAAAGGAATTTATACGTAACGGGTGATTAAGACGCAAATGAGTATCTGACGCGTGAATTTAGCGGAAAGAAGAGCGAGATTCGTGAAGTTATGAAACAGCGTGAGGCGCGATTTGCCTCCTGAAACCTTGTTCACAAGAACATAGAGTTGAAGTTTTCCTTTTACATGTGTGATTTTTTTTGTAAAATTCACTGAGGGTTAGGGATCCCCGGGTGACACTTGTTACCCGATCCTTTTAAAGGCAATTTAAGATTGTTATCCTAATTGACTGTTTAGGCCCCTTGAAAGAAAACCGGAAAAAATGGCGCCAATATTAAACCAGGCTGTCAGTATTTAGTTTTCTGGAATTTCTCCCCAAAAAATTAACATAAGAACACAGGAATGTTTTAAATGCTATACAAGCTCCGAAAAACCTTAATGCCACTCCACAGAATTGTCATTGAAAGTTATGAAAAAAGCTTCCGTTCAACAATTACCAACCAAAGAAAGACTTTACGCAGTATTCATCAAAGCTGGTATCAGTGAAAAGAAATGATATGACTTCCTGTTGGCTCCTAATAGTGCGTTTTTTTTAACATCCTTCCCCTAGAGATAGAGGAGTTTGTCGGTGGGAAGCGGAATAGGCTGGATGGCGACGACGCTTTTGGCCGTGAAACAGAGATTTTGTTATATCTATTTCCCGAGCTTGGCGATACTGAGGTTCGTCTCGCGGAATATTTTGTCTAGCAAATCGACTTCCGGTATGACGAGTCGTTCGATTCGAGTCGATCGAGTCGATTCGACAGTATCTGCAACCCCCTTTGGTGGCCACTTGCGGACGGGTCGACTTTAACCGCGACGGGTCGAAAGGAGTCGATTCGACAACATTTTCAACAACCCTTGGCAGTTACTTACGAAATATTTTCCAAGTGTCTTGCAAATTGACTTCCGGTACGCGTTTCCATCTAATGAGAGATGGTTTATCAGATTTCCGATTAACCACGAATCAACTTCCGGTAGAACGATTCGCAAACTGCCTTTCACGAATCGTAGCGGTTTGGGTGTATTTGAAAACCCTCTTGCAGCGTGTAGATATCTTTTGAGCCAGACCTACACACCTGAGCCCGACACCAAGCAAAGAAACTCGAAAGAGTGCTGTGTACCAACTGGCTCGCAGGTGCACGCAAAGACCACGACATTCAGCGAAAATAATGGCTAACGCAGACGATAATTGCAGTCAAAAAACAGGCAATTAAAATAACAGAAGGTTTAAGAACTTTCTAGAAGTGTTTTCTTGAGAAAACAGATAAACAATTTCACTTCTCAAGAACGATCACGCAGTCAAGATACAATACTATTTCTGCGTGGAATTTCTTGATGGTGGAAAGTGGAAAAACATTTTCCAGCCTTATTTTCTGGAAACATGGCGCAGTTAATGAATTTTATGGGGCTATCCATATTTCCTTTCAAATGAAGAGGACAGAGTTTCCCGTCACCGCGGTTTAGAAAAGCCGAAGTTGTCAAAACGGGAACTTGTACGTCAACAAGAATGCGACATGTGACTTTAAAATCTCCTTTACTTGTGAACTGTGCGATAATGATAGTAAACAATCAAATTATAGACTAATGAATGTAAAATTCATTAAAGTATGAGCCAGCAGTCTTCCTGCAAATTTCCCTTGATGAAAAAAT